CTCATGATTCTGTTAGATCTGCTTCCCAAGTTTGGAATTACATATTACCATGCCTGGTTCACACACAGGTTTTATGGCTAATATCTATTCTTAATGGCCAATATCCACATTATGCAGAATATTGCCATGACAATGCCAGACATCGAGTCATTATAAGACCAGGTATATGACATATCTTTAATTCCAGCACTTAGAAGGTGGAGTCAGGAAGATCAGGACCTCAAGGCCAGCCTCAGCAAAAGAGTAAGTATGAGGCCATTCTGGGCTACAAAAAAATAGTAAATTAAATAAATGAATAGATGGGCATGGTATTAAGTGCCCACCTTAATTCCAGCACTTGGGAGGCAGAGAGAGCTCTGTGAGTTCGAAGCCAGCCTGGTCTACAGAGCTAGTTCCAGGACAGCTAGGGTTGTTACACAGAGAAGCACTATCTCAAAAAAAAAAAAAAAAAAGGCTTAAATTACATCCTCATCCTCATTGATGTAAAAAGAGAACTTAAAAGTCTCAAGCCAGCTGGGTGTTGTTGGTGCACGCCTTTAATCCCAGCACTCGGGAGGCAGAGGCAGGCGGATCTGTGTGAGTTCCAGGCCAGCCTGGTCTAAGTAGTGAGTTCTAGGACAGGTTCCAAAAGATAAACCCTGTCTTGAAAAACTAAAAAAAAAAAAAAAAAAAAAAAAAGGGTAAACAACTTTCAAAAATGTAAGCCTTGGAACTGGGGAAATGGCTTAGAGGTTAAAAGCACTTGCTGATCTTCCAGAGGACCTTGGTTCAATTCCTGGCATCCACATGGTGCTAACAACTGTCTGAAACTCCAGTTCCAGGGGATCCAAATACCACTTCTGATTTCCAAAGACACCAGACACACTTGTAGTGCACAGACATCCATGCAGGCAAAACACCCATAAGCATGACATTTTTAATAAAATTTTAAAAGTTAAAAATGTATATAAGCCTATTATCTCTCATCATGATAGAGTACGTGGCTGGGAATAGATTTGCCTCTGGAGATGATTGGAAAGGCTTGAAAACAGTAGAGTGATGAAACACTGTGAGAAATGACTCAGATGAGATCTGAGAAAGACTAAGATCCACATTGAAAGCCTAGCATTTGCAACAATGTTCCATCCTGGGCACAACTGCCAATTCTGGATATGCATTTTTCCGGAAATGACTTTAGAAAATGTCATGGGGATGGAAATTAAAAGTTGTGGTCTAAGGCTCACAAAAAATTCTCTGGATCTGGGAAGATATCTCAGTGGATAGAAGTGCTTGCAGTACAAACATGAGGACCTGAGTTTGAATACCCAGCACTCATGTTTGTTTTAACAGCTAGTCATGATTATGCACCTGGATATAACCCTAGTACTGTTGAGAAAGTAGAGACAAGGGAATCACTGGACTTGCCTGCTAGCAGTGTAGGGTAAGAATCAATGAGAAACTTGTCTCAAAGTAGTAAGGATAGAGCAAGACAAATGACACTTCCATTGGCCTCTACATGCATATACAGGGGTGTACATGCCTGCATACACATGAGTGCACACACCACATACACACACACACACTCCTAAAAGACTCTCTACTCAGAAGTCCCAACCAAAGAGTGAGTTGGAAATTGCTCTGGTGTCTACAGCTCAGCTTTGAGTCATCTTAATCACTAAAATTAGTTTGATTATCTCAAACTGATAGAGACTCTGGATGCCTTCCAGAAACAAATTTAAGTTCATTCTGGAGAAGAAAATATTAACCTCCCCCAACCTCCAATTATTTCTAAAAATATTTTTCCAACACAATGCCTATCACATAATCAGAGGCATCCAGGCACATAAAGAGAATATTAATGAGGTAATAATGATAAAGAATTTCCCAAAATTAGTGACAGACAACAAATTGAAGATTCAGAAATCTCAACAAGGGCCCAACAGCACAAACCCTAGAACCCTTATCTAAGCATGTCATAGTCAAACTTCGGAAAATTAAAAACATGGAGAGTTGGGGTCAGGAGACAAGCCAGAGGAAATATCCCATCCACCTACAGAGGAACAAGGACTAGAATTGTGTGGCATATTTAAGAAAGAAAAAAAAATATACCCACCACTCTTGAATGAAGAAATGAAAAAAGAAGCAAATAAATGGAGATTTTTCATGTTTGTAAATAGAAAGAATATTGTTATAATAACATTTTTAAGCATTTAGTGTGTGTGTGTGTGTGTGTGTGTGTGTGTGTGTGTGTGTGTGTGACTGTGTATCTGTGTAGATGCTCAGGCAAGTGTGTGTACATGCACATTGCATGTATGTGGAGGACAGAGGGAGGACAACTGTGGGAGTTGGTTCTCTCCCTCCATCTTGTGGGTTCTGGGAACTAAATTCAGTCAGCCTTTATCCCCTAAGCTATCTCCTCTAAAGACCACAATATCAGTTTTGTTTCATTTTTTTTTTCCCTCCCAATGTGGTTGGTCTATATCAATGTAAACCCAGTCAGAGTTCCAGGAAGCTATTTTATGGGTTTAGTGATTGTTAACACAAACTAGAGTCACTTGGGAAGAGGTAACCTCACTTGAATTTCTGCCATCAGATTGGTCTCTGGCCATTTCTGTGAAGTGGGAGGGTCCAGCCCATTGTAAGAGGTATCTTCTTCCCTTGGAAGGTGTGGGATGCGTAAAAAGCTTGCTAAGCATGCCAGGCAGTGGTGGCCCCAGCCTTTAATGCCAGCACTTAAGAGGCAGAGGTAAGGGGATCTCTGTGAGTTGGAAACCAGCCTGATCTACAGAGCTAGCCCCATGACAGCCAGGCCTGTCACACAGAGAAATCCTGTGGGGGTGGGGGAAGCTTGCTAATTAAGTAGCTGGGAGCAAGCCAGTAAATAGAATTCTCCCAGGGTTCCTGCTCTTACTTCCTTCAGTGACGGATGGATTGTGACTTAGGAAATATAAGTTGAAATAAACCCTTTTCTTCTGAAGTTGTTTTGGATCATGGTGTTCATCTTGGCAACAGAAAGCAAACTAGCACAATGAGTATAGACAAGCTGACTCTTAAGTTTATATAGAAAGGGGGAAGTGTAGATAGCATGATATCAAAAGAGAACTATGTGGAGCATTGGCAATATTTAATTTTCAGTATGTCACAGAACAAATAGAACATTTTAAAACTAAAAGACCCAATTAATGCATTTTTAAACTTACCTGCTTTAAATGTAGCTATGGTATGGGGAGGTACACCTCAGTGGATGGGGTCTTGCCGCTCACAAGGATCAGGTCCGGCCTGGGCATGGTAGTATATGCCTGCACTCCCAGCACTGGGAAGAATGCAGCAGGAGAGAACCACGAGTTTGAGGCTAGCCTGGACTACACAACAAGATCCTGTCAAAAAAGAAAAATAACTGCTCCATCAAGAAGAAAACACATTTTGAAAAGCAGGTGTACCCCCAAACTACTAAACAGGTGATTTGTAAACTAATATATCTTAAGCCCAGCATGAGAGTGAATGTCTGTGACCTCAGTTCAAGGTCCTAATCCACTTGACAATGAATTAGTGGCCAGCCTGGACGACATGAGACTGGCTCAAAAAGCAATAACATGGAGCTGGGAAGATGACTCAGCCATTAAGAGTACTGGCTGCTCTAGCAAAGAACCCGGGTTCCATTTCCAGCACCCACAGATAGGTTTATACGAGTCCATAACTCCAGTTCCAGGGAATCTGACACCCTCTGGCCTCAATAGGCACCAGGCACACACATGCTGCACATTCATAAATGCATGCTGCCAAAACTCTCGTACACATAATAAAATGTTTACAAATTCTCTCCTCTCTCTCTCTCTCTCTCTCTCTCTCTCTCTCTCTCTCTCTCTCTCTCTCTCTGTGTGTGTGTGTGTGTGTGTGTGTGTGTAGGAGAACAAACGTGTGGTGGCATGCTTGTTGAAATCAAAGGACAACTTTAAGTAATGGGTTCTCTCATTTCATGTTGTTGAGGATCTCTCTTGTTTCTATCCCTCTGCTACCTGGCGCTCGTGATTCTAGTTTTCGCCTCCCATCTTGCCACAAAAGTGCTGGGATTACAGATGTGAGGCTCTGTGTCTGATTTTTTCATGTAGGTTCTGGGTATCCAACCAACTCGGGTTATCCATTAAGAGCCTTTACATGCTTGTTGTTCATTAAGAGCCTTTACATGCTGGATTATCTCGCTGTCCCTTCGTCTTTATGAATGTGCGCTTGTGAGAAAGGAAATAAACACTTTAGCATTGTGATTTGACAGATAGCTTTTAGATACTAACACACACGATGTATCAATTTCCGTTTCTTCTTTTGCCCTCGGCTCTGCAAATGCTAGGTGCACCTACGCCCTAACTTGTTTGATCCATAGCATCCTTTTCAGGAAAAGGAGAAAACACTCCTGAGTGACAGAATAGGGAGGAACCAGGCACGAGCGCTGAGTAAATATGGCTACATAAGTTCTTTCGCTCTCCTGAGGAAAAAAATCAGTGCTTGGGGGCATGTATTAGGATGCAAGAGACGAGAGTGTGAGACTCAGGAGCAAGGAAGTGGTGGAAGATACGAAAGAGGTGTGTGGTAGAGCCCGGGTAGGATGGGTTCCGCGGGACTGGCTTCGGTAATAGTGATGGAAAGGTGGAAGCCTCATCTGCCCCACAGAAAATAGTCTCTCAGTTGGAGGTGTGCTGGAAGGGATCGGCTCTGACTCTCGCAGACATCGCCACGCATGACGAAGCTACTTCCCATCCATCCACTGCCACGCCCGCACACCCTCCACACACAGGGCAGCTGAGGGTCCGGTTGCCATGGAGAGCTGGAGCGCGTGAGCCCAGCCGCTCCCCCCTCCCTCCGCCCCAGCTCAGTCAACTCCCGCTCTGATTGGCCACCGCTATCTTATTATGCAAATCACTTGCGTAGACTGGCCCGGCTAGCTATCTGACGTCACTAAGCTGGGGGGGGGCTGGGGCTCAGGGCTGGGCTTGGCGCGCTAGGGAGGGAGCCCAAAGAGCTCCGAGGGGTACTCTAGCTGCACCCAGGCGCCCCGCCCTCGACCACGCCCCTTTCCAGCCCGCCCCGCCCCTCGCTCTCTGCCGGGCCCCGCCCCCTGGGTAGCCCCCCGCCCTCGCAGCCGGCCCCGCCCCCTCCCCCAGGCCCTCGCCAGCAGTCCAGGGAAGGGACGGCGGGACGGACAAGCGGGACGCGAGGGAGGGCGGACGGGGCGGGGACATGGCCGCGGCGCCCGGAGGGTCTGCGCCGCCCGCCGGCCCCGGCCCGCGCCTGGCTTTCAGCACCGCGGACAGCGGCGTCGGCATGAGCGGGCTGAACCCAGGTCCCGCTGTGCCCATGAAGGACCACGACGCCATCAAGCTCTTCGTGGGGCAGATCCCGCGGGGCTTGGACGAGCAGGACCTCAAGCCGCTGTTCGAGGAGTTCGGCCGCATCTACGAGCTGACGGTGCTGAAGGACCGGCTCACCGGCCTCCACAAAGGTGCGCGGGGTCAGCCCAGCCCAGCCCAGCCCCAATCCAATTAGAATGCAGCCCAACCCAACCCCGGCCCCAAAAGCAGGCCCAACCCAGCCCTACCTAGAGGCAACCCGACTCCAGTTCAGTACCTACCCCACCTCAGCTCTGTCTCCTCCCCAGGTCACAGACCCCCAGACCCAGAATTTTCTCTGTGACATCCTCCTTCTGAGCATCACTTCCCTAACAGGTTCTTCACTCTAACCTCCAAATCCCCTGTCACTTCTCACATCCCAACCACCCCATCTCCCAGCTGGACCTCACCACCATCCCTCCCATCAGACACCCCAAACCCTGGAATTTGGAAACTTATTCTACCTTCTAGCTCTGGAGTATGCGATCTCCTGACCCCTGAACCCACTGTTTCCAGAGTCGTCTGGTGCCACCCTACTCAGGCCTAACCACTCACACACTTCTTGGATTTGCACCCCTCTTTCTGGCCTCCAACCCTAGCCAACCCTCGACGCTTCCATTAACTCTTGTGTCTGACAGCTTTAAACATGGCTTGTGCCCAAATTTTCTTTTCCTTCAGAGTTCAAACCTGTCTAATGTACACAGCCAAATTCACCTCCCAGGAGACTCTCAGAGACAAATGCCCTCTCACATTTGATATTGCATACATTTTCCAGAATCCAACATTCTTTGCCTCTTCTGATCTGAATCCAGAATCCCAACCTCAGCTGGGAACATCCACCTGCCCCCTTCATCTTGGGCTTTCCCTTACATGAATACACTTTTTCTTCCCTCATCCCCCACTGCTATGCTTCTCTGCTCCTCTCAATCCTCCTGATGGCCTCCTGTTTCCCTTTCTTTGCTGACTGGTCCCAGACCAGAGCACTCTTTGGGTGGGGTCAAACTAGTGAGGAAGATGGAGATGGGGACCCTTCTCACTGCCCTTCTTAGGGCAACAGAGGCACCATGGTCCTGTCCAGCCACACCCCTTTCTTCCTGTAGAGAAGGGAGGAGACTTGTTTACATGCAGAAAAGTCTGTCCAGGCTGAGCTGGAATAACAGAGTCAGAATCATATAATAATTTGAGAAGCAACATCCTTATTTCCCCACTGTGAAATAATGTGGCTTCAGGATTTTGGTGGGGGAAGGGTCACCAACTATCCTCCATAGTTTACCTATAAGAAAAATTACAGGTCTTGCAGGGCAGGCTCATTCTGAAGGCTAGTGAGCTAGGATCAGACTACTACCTCTTTCCAACCAGAGATCCTAGAGCATTCCTTGGCATGCTAAGATAGGGGGCTTTGATAAAACACCCATGAAAGACCTGGGTTATTTGAGTAGGAGTACATTTTCCACCCTTGGGTGAGGTTATTTTAAAGTGCAACAAGAACAAGTTCACATCATCCAGACTCCTTATAATGCAGTCCAATTGCCTATCTATCTTCCTTCCCATTACTTATAGCACCTTTTTCTAGACATTGTATTCAGTGGGTAAGCACAAAACTAATCTTTTTGGTGATCTGTAGAATAAAGAAAGTGTGTGGAATAGCTGCAATTCTCATTTAAACACTCAAATGCTCAAGCTCTCTGAACTGTTCCTCATTCTCTGTTCCTCCCCATACTCATCTGTCCTTTATGTCATGCTTCTCTGTATTTACATCCTTCCATTCTTCCACCTTCTAACCCAAGCAATTTACATGGTTCTTTGTGGTAGCACCTGGGCTCCTAAGCCTTTCATTAAGTCCCTTCCAGTCTGAGGTCTGATGTTACTGGCAGGACCAGTAAGTGTGAGACCAAGGGTTAAGTGATTTAGTTCCCCCAAACAGTCTACACCTTTCCAAGGAAAGGTGACCTTATGAGATATAGAGGCAACTTGGAGGGTCTCTAAATCAACAACCCAACTCTCTTCCCAGCAACCATGATGTCTAAATGCTAGAATGACTCATTTCCATTTTGATGGCTGAGTATTGAGGGAGACAGTTACCATGCTTTGAAAACAATCATAGCATGGGAATTCAAAGATCCCAAACCCTGGCCTGTGACTGACACAAACTCTAGCGTCAGTTACTTTACTGATATGAGAAGACTGTATCTAAGAGTTCCCATTAAACAGTAGGCAATCCATCCATCTTAAGGAGGCATCTCCATAAAAGATGCCACAAAAAAAGGAAGGAAGGAAAGGAGGAAGGAAGGAAGAAAACATTTCCCTTTGCTTTTCTAGTCATCCCTTTGAGTGGAGACCTAAAGCCAGCTCCTAATGGGCTTCCCATATGCATGTTCCCTTCCTTTGGTCCTTCTCCTTCCTCTGCTCAAAAGGCTTGTTTTGAAAATCTAGTGAAAATCCTTTAGTGGCTCTCCAATGCTCTTAGGAAAGAATAAAAATTTACTGAGGTCTCTAAGGCTATATGTAACCCAATCCCTGCATACCTCATTAGTCACTCTGCTTGAACTCCCATACATACTAGCTTTCTGTCCATTTCTCCAACACACCACATTTTGGCTCAGTTTTTTTTCTCCCACCTGAAATATCACACCCTTCTTATCACCTGGTTCTAAAGGACTCACTATTTCTGTTCTTGAAAACTCAATGTCTTCTATTTTATCGTCATTGCTATATGCTGGGGTTTGAACCTAAAGTCTCATATATGCTAGACAAGAACTCTGCCACTGAGTTACATCCCTGCCCTCAGTGTCTTCTTGGAGACAGTCCTCAACCCTTGGAGACAGACTCAGGTGCTCCTCATGACATCCAATCTCCAAGAACTCCTCTCCATCTCTAACCCATCATAATGCCCATCCAAATAAGTAAGTATTGGATATTTTCTGGCTGAATGAGTTTTCAGTGAATATTAGAAAAGAAGATACTTACTTTAGTGTTTTCTAGAAGAGCAGATTTTGAATCTGAACACAGTTGGATAGTAGGCCATGTTGTTTAGCTCACCTAGATTCATTCCTTGCCCCAGTAACTAGGCTTCTTTTAGAGGAGTCCAAGTTGACTTACAAATAACCCTTTAAGGGCCCTGTGTTGACAGACAAAGGTCTGTGGATAGGATTAGGGAGTTTCTGGAATCTCCTACTTACAGAAAGCCCTTAACCTGAACCAAGCCTCAAATCAAATCCATTACCCAACTTCAGACTTAGGAAGGGAAATGTTGGGAAGTAGTTGGCCTTCAACCCTTAATCTTCCTCTTTTTCTTTCTGCCACTTGGAACTGGATTGGGAAGGAATTGAGGCCGACCTTTGGAGAACATGAGTCTATGTCTAAAACAGATGTGTGTTATGGGGGGCAGAGTACTGCATTGAAGAAGGCAAAGCCACTTAGGGAGGTTTAACCCTGACGGGACTTATGGATGGACTGGGGAGGGAAGCTGTGGAATTGGATGAGCACTTGACTGGATGTATGGGTACAGATGTTTCTTGGATAGAAGATCCTGGAGAAAATGAGAGGAAACCAGAGATTGGGATATAGGTCTCAAGCATGTGAAGCCTCTCCCATCACAGAACACTTCCCAGGGCAGTATTCATGTTTACAGAATAGTGAGCCTGAGCTTGTTGACTTATTTGGATCTTACCAAGAAGAATATTAAGGGGTTTCAGAAAACTCCCTGAGCCCAGCTCTTCCTCCTCAGGCTGTGCCTTCCTCACCTACTGCGCCCGGGACTCTGCCCTCAAGGCCCAGAGTGCATTGCATGAGCAGAAGACCCTGCCAGGGGTAAGTCAACCAAGGTTGAGGGCGGGTTGGGTGGGAATCATCTCAAGCTTGAGACAATGCTCTACATGCCTGCCTAAGCAGCAGGGTCATCTACCCTGGAAAGGGTTTATGTGTTCCTTGAACAACAATAAATTCCATGGTACACTCAGTCTTTTGGCCAAGTGTTCCAACCTATTTTTTAGAAGAGACATCAGTGATGTGAGATAAGTAGACTTTTTCCACTTTGACTAAAATCATGGTTACAGGTGTTACTTGTCACTACATGTGAGCATATATGTAGTAATATAGGGAAGAGGCTGTGCTGAGTCAGTATCCTGTCTTCAATCTTGTGGTCCTAGATGGTGCTTTCCTGTAGTTGTCTTCCTGTAATACGTTTTAGGTACCTTGACTCACCAAAATTCATCTTCTTTCCATGTTACAAAACATAGCTGAAGTTAAAAGAGACTTCTTGGTTTTATAGATTCCCAGGATTAAATGATCTGGTCTTAACTAATGATGGCCACAAGCAAAAGAAAATTGGAACCTACCATCCGTGTGATAGTGACAATTAAGATCTAACATGGGTTGCCAAGAGGAAAACATACTTCCAGGCTTCATTTTCTCCTATCTGAAGAGTGTTGTGTCTTGTTCAAATATCATGGGTAGGCAAAGTCTGGTACAATGTCCATTTTATAATTAAGAAGGTCGTTGACCTACCAGAAAGAGACCAGGATAGAATAAAGGCACATGACACTAAATATGTCATGAGATATGTTCAAAGGATTTGCATATATATGTATGTGTGTGTGTGTGTGTGGAGAGAGAGAGAACAGAGACAGAGAAAGAGAATATATATGGAGATATATATATGTGTGTGTGTGTGTGTGTGTGGAGAGAGAGAGAACAGAGACAGAGAAAGAGAATATATATGGAGATATATATGTGTGTGTGTGTGTGTGTGTGTGTGGAGAGAGAGAGAACAGAGACAGAGAAAGAGAATATATATGGAGACATATATATGTATATATAATATGTGTGTGTGTGTATGTGGAGAGAGAGAGAGAACAGAGAAAGAGAATATATATGGAGACATATATATATTTATATATAGAGAGAGAAAGAGAGAGAAAAGAATTTAATGGGATTTTAGTATGAACACATCATAACATGATAATTAAAAATACTTTGTTTCACATCTTTCAGACTTAGATTTGAGTCTCACCTTTGTCACTTACCAGTTCTGTTTTCTTCCATTCAAGCTTTAGTTGTCTCATCTGCAGGGCATGGGTTGCACTAACAATGTAGCTCCTTGGTCTGTAGAAAGGAAGTCTCAGTAAATATGACTGTTGCCTTAAGATCCCGGCAAAGGACTAGATTATCTGTAGATGGTCCCAGATGATAAGAGCAAGATCAATGAGAGTAAGAAACAGGTACCTATTTCAGCTTTGTTCTATGAATTGGAGCTGTCCAGTCACTCACCTATTTTGTGACCCTGGGTAGGTTAAAACCTGAGTTATTCTGAGCATATTTTCAATCCCAAAACTTCAAAGGCAGAGGCAGGCAGAGCTCTGATTTAAGACATATATATCGAGTTCCAGGACATCCAGGGCTATATAGTGAGACCCTTTCTCAAAAAATATGATAAAACCTGAGTTTCTTCATCTATAAGACTAAATTCAAGCCGGGCAGTGGTGGTGCATGCCTTTAGTCCCAGCACTCAGGAGGCAGAGATAGACAGATCTCCGTGAGTTCAAAGCCAGCTTGGACTACAGAGTGAGTGCCAGGACACAGAGCTACACAGAGAGACCCTATCTCAAACAAACAAACAAAAAAAACAAGCAAACAAAACAAAAAACTGAATTCGTGGGCAAATGGGCTAGGTCACGTGAGGTACAGAGCATGGCAGAAAGTAAGCCTGCAGCCTGGCTTAGCTGATGGTAGTAGTAATAGCAGCAATTGAAACAGTAACATTGGTAGAAGCAGTTGTAGAAAGCTTCATTCATCCAACCGTGGGAGCAAACCATTCCTGCTGCTAGCACAGGCACCAGCACAGGCACGGAGACAAGCTGGAACACCCATGCAGGGAACTGTGGTAAAAAAAAAAAAAAAGAAAAGAAAAGAAAAGAAAGAAACAGGTGGGTGTGAATCGGATGGGCCCATGGGAGGGGGGCAGAGGGGTGGGGGCTGGGCAAGAGAGTCTGGGCCAGTCTAAGGGCAGGATCCTACAGAGGGCTGCAGTTGAAGGGGAAATAAGTGGGAGATTTGGACTTTAGCTGGAAAGCCCTGGGAAAATTAAGATGGGCTTGGGAGAAAAAGCTTCTGAAGAAGTGATGAACAGTACCTGTGGGGTTTGATAAGAATGGGTACTCCTTGGAAAAGGACAGTGAAGACCTAGACCTGGAAGGATTCTAAGGGAGAAAAGCAAAATAGTAATAACCACCGACAGTTATCAACACCAATATTCATGGCATTTTATGTGTCCCAAGTCATTTAATCCTTCTTGTGAAGAAGGTATTGTTATTGGGTCCCCTTTCCCCATCTTACAGATGAGGAGACTGAGTCCTACATCGAGCTGTCCACATATGAGAAATTCTAGTCATTGAGCTCAGTTAGTCTATTCACTCAATTGCTCCACTATTACATGAGCTAACTTGGTAGCAGATGGGGTTTAGTTTCTTTCTTAGTTTCTGAAGAGTATGGCAATTGAGGACTGTGCCTTCTTCCACCCTCTCATCTGTAGGCCTCCAGTGTGGCCTGGCTTCCTCTGTTACTGCCAGGATTGGCTTTACTCACTCTTCTCAACTTAACAAAGTGAAAATTAATATTTAATTATCCTCTTAAATGAAAATCAATGGCACTGTTGGCTAGCCCCGGTAACATCCCTGCCATCAATCTTTCTCTGAGCTTGCCAGGGGTAGCAGCAACTTTCACCAGAGAGGAGCAGGCGCCGAGCCTTCTGTAGGCACTGGGTCCTGGGTGCAGCTGCCATCTGCTGGAGAAACGGGGATAAGACTTGTGTCTGCATTTTTGCTAGCAGGACCGTAAAAGAAATGAAGCCTATAAAGGCTGGATGACCCCCCAAAAGAAAGCCTGAAACTTGATGGGAAATAGCACAATTTGTTCTGGAGCGAAGCCTTCTCTCAGATTCTCTCCACTTATCCACTGCCAGTCTCTGTCACACATTTGAAGTTCAGAACTCCCTTCAAATTGCAGCCATCTGCTGCCTGACTTCCAATTCCTGAAGCCTCTTCCTGAGGAAGCTACTGCTGTTTCTTTGAGCCTCATTCTAGTTCTAGAATCTACCTGAAGAGAATGAGGCCAACTGCATCCCCACTTCTGAGATTAGAAGGGTGTCTCTTATTGCTCAATCTCCCTGTCCATTCCCTTCTTTGGAGGAACCTAACCCTTCAGACACTATGAAGGAAGGCAGATACAACAAAGTAGAGGCATGTATTTACTTGCACAAATTGTATCCTGTGCAAAACAGCTTGGGAGGAGAGAGAAAAATAGAAGTTCAATCCTACTACATTCTACAAACCAAGTAGTTGTAGTAATTAAATCCTACTACAGTCTATAGATCAAGCCATGTCTTCAAGAAGCACCCAGCTCAGAGGTAACTCATTGTACTCTGTTGGAGTTACATCTGGGCATGTAAAAGAGGCCACAGGAGTGGGGAGAAAGGAAGTGCTACCAGATGCTTTCTTCATATCACTTCTGAAATTCTGAGGATAATATGAGAACTGACAGGAAGATGTCTCCCAGCAGAGATGGCCATGGCTGTGAGTGGGTGGGGAGTACTGTGCCTGTTTGGTAGAGGAGACAGGGTACATGAGTGCTGGCAGCCAGTCATGGGTGGATTAAAGAGGAGATATGGATGAAGTTTTGAAGATTACTTTGGCTACAGTATGAAGACTGGACTGAAGAGGGGACAATAGTGGAGGCAAGATGGCCCTATAGGACAATGTCACGTCTGAGTAAGCCAGTGACACAGCAGGCTGCTCTGGACCTGGGGTGGAGTGGAAATGGAAAGGAAACAATGGGCTTGTGGCATGCATATGGACTCTGGAGCTCATGGGACTTGATAGTAAGCTGGGTTAGAAGAAGTATGGTAAACCGAGCAGCACTTGGGAGGCAGAGACAGGTGGATGTCTGTGAGTTCAGGGCCAGCCTGGTCTACAGAGTGAGTTCCAGGACAGCCAGAGCTGCATAGAGAAACCCTGTCTTGGAAACAAAAAGAAGGAGGAGGAGGAGAAAAGTGTTAGAGCCGAGTCCTGAAAACTGATGTGGATGTTTGTCATACTCTCCAGTGACCCTCACAACACCTCTCCTAGACTCAGCAACAGCCTGTCTCAGGGGAGCACTGGTAAAACCCCTTCCTGTGGGAAGGGGATGCTGCTTGAGGGATAGAAGTCAGGGTAGGGTGATGAATAGCCCAAATACAGGCGTTTTAGACAAGTCTGGGAAGTGGGATAGACTTTGCTTCCCTTCTGCTTACTAAATCAAGAGAACAGGGCCTTGTACAGATCTGGTTGCCTCTAACCTTCCACACCCCACTTCCTGGAGTAGGTTATTCTCCTCTCTCTAATATTCACCTTGGTTTTTTTCCTTCAGGGCCCTGACACAGACATGGGCTTGGGAAACTCTTGGGGGAACAGGTGATCAGTCAAGGCAAAGTCTCACCTGAAATCTCACAAGTTTGTGGTTCAAGAGTCAATGCCCTCATTTCCTTAGTGTACCTCAGACCCTTCCCCTGCTTATGGCAGGACTGAAGCAAGCAGGGTTGCCCAATAGCCCTCATGAGCAGCTTTCTCCTCCAACCACGAGTAGCATTCCTAAACCTCAAATGTTCCTCATAATCCCTGCCTGAGGGGTTGAGTCTCAGAGCCTGGGAAGCAATGCTCTCTCAATTCCTGAGCTGTAAGCCCGAGTAGGCCCCCATGCCCTCCTTTCCCTCTGCCCCATCCTCGACAGAACTATAGTTTAGTTCATTTGTCCTGAACATCTTTTGGGTCTGCCCATTTCCTCCTACAATGGTCACAGTCACTCACTCCCCACTTGCATCACCGACCTTCCTGCCTCTTCTCACTCCCTACCCAATCCTCTCTCTGCACTGTGACAACTTATGAGATCCTTTCTAAGACTAAACAGGCCAGATCAGCACCTGTCCTTTTAAAGTCCCTCTCTGGATCTTTATAGCATTTGAAATATATCCATGTCAAAATCCTTGACATGTTTTTTTACAGCCTGCCCTGATCTGGCCCCTGCCTGCCTTTCAGTTTCACCCCCTCTTACCAAAAGAAAAAAACAAAAGCAAGCATGTAAAAAGTCAAAAAGATACAGAGAGGCACACAAAAAAGACAAACTTAGTGTACCTACTAAGATTTAGCTTTTGTTGTTTTCACCATAGACCCTCAAGCATAGGACCACGATTCCTTCCCCCTTTTATGGGTGGGGATACTGAGGCTCAGAGGCAGTGATGGAACCAGGATTGAAGTTTGTCTTCAGGAGTTGGAGCCTTTGCTTTTTCGGGCTTGATGATCTGTCTCTACTCTAGTCATCTAGAATGCTCAGCTACCTGCCTTGCCTCTCCCATTATCTCTATCCACTCTGACCTACAAGGTTAAACACTGTTACTTCATGGATTGTTTCCTGTGTCAGCCTCTCCAGCTGTAGCTAGCCTCACTATAGCTCTTCACCTTGCATTATCTCCAAGGCCCTGGTACCTCTGTGTCTCCTTATTTGCGTTCATGTCTTAAGAATGGAATTGAAGGCTGGAGATATGGGTCAGTCAGTAAAGTGCTTGCTGTGAAAGCATGGAGACCCGAGTTTGCCCCACCCCCACCCCAGAATCCACATGCAAAGCCAATGGCAATGATACATTCCCATGATTGTAGGAAATCCCCAGGGTTTACTGGCCAGCCAGCCAGTCTAGCTGAATCACAGAACTCCGGGTTCAGTAAGAGACCCAGTCTGAAAAATGAGAGGGTATTTTTGATTAAGAGCACTGGATGTTCTTCCAGAGGACCCAGACTTGATTCCCCACACCAACATAGAAGTTTACAGTCAACCTGAACTACAGTTTCAGGGGATCCAATACCCTCTTCTAGTTTCTGTGTACACCATTGCATACATGTGATGCACAGATATACATGCAGACAAAACACCCATACACATAAAATAAAAATAATCCTTTTTATAAGGTGAGAAAGAGACCTGATATTATCTTATTATCTGTGACCACACACACACACACACACACACACACACACACAGTGGACTTGTGCTGAGGAGGCTGAGGCAAGAAGAACATGAGTTTATGGCTAGCTTGGGCTATCAGCAAGTTCTAGGACAACCTGAGCTACATAGTGAAACTCTCTTAAAAGCAAAACCACAAACAAATAAAAAAGAACAAAGAGTTGAGCAGTAGGATGCAAAAATCAGGAGCCATACCATCAGGCAGACCTGCAGTGAGTCTATGGGTACCCACAACATGCTCCTAGACTAACTTCTCTCCCTGAAAAAGCCTCAGCTTTCTCATCCATAATATGGAGACATTGGACCCCCTGAAGTGGTTAGAAAGATTTAGAAACAAACAGATAGTCCCAGGGGAAGGCTTAGCATCTGGTAAGCTCTCAGAAAATGGGGACCTCATCTTCTCTGTGAACCTATGAGGGGAGTCTACATCTAAGCATCGCATCACTGGGGTTCATCCCAGAGTTCAAGAAATACTAACAGCATGCCTGACTGGCAGAAGGTGTAGACCTTGAGCCTCTGAGGACTGGACCCTGGCAGGCTTTCATATGTACCACCCAATATCCACTCTCCATTAAAAGGTCAGGTGGTTGGGAGGAGGGAAAGGATCATCCCCCCAGAGCACCAATGAGCACCATCTCCCAGGAAACCCAGCCAGGAGCTACCATGGAAACTGCTGCTGTCACATGCGTCCGTCACTCTTGGCTCCAGAAAAAAATTCTCAGAATCTATTTAAGAACTAATAAAATAATGATGATTTTGCTCACTCTCACTGGCCCCCTAGCTCAGGCTTCTGCCCCTCTCCTTCTTTCTACCAGGCTCTCCTTACTTCCCTAAACCTGCTTTCTGCTCCCCCACCCCCTCCTTTCCTTCCCATCCCCACCAATAATTCTCTTTCTTTGCCGTTTTCTAGGTCTGTCTCTTACTTTCTCCCATAATTTCTTGCTGTGTTTCTCCATCACTCTCCATGTCTCTGCTCTCCATAGCTCTGTCTCTTGGTTTCTCCTCCACACTCACAGGTGGCCATGCCTAGGGACTGGTCCTGTCCTCCTGGTCCCTGGTCCAGGCCAGTCCAGACCTGTCCAGCTCGCCCTGATCTGCTTGGATTGATCTGTCATCCCCTCTAGACTACAACCTGAGTCCTGTCGGTGTCTCGGCCCCCACCCACAGCCTGGTACACTGCAGGTGCTCTACTACCAGAGGGTGGGTGTGTCAGGGCCTTGGGTGGGAGGGAGGATTACAATGGTTCAGGCTTGGCCTGTTTTCTTTTCCTTTTTTTTTTTTTAAATGAGTCTCCCTCACCCCTCCCACCCCAAAATTTGATCCAAAGAAATTGCTCAGCTGTGACTGCCAGGGTGTTACCATGGTTACTGGGTAGCACTTGTGGCTATGGTAACAGGAAGCTGCCTGTTGTCTCGGCAACGAGCACATTGGAAAAAATGGAGTGGCCCCTGATTGGTGCAGAAGCAGTACATTTCCTGAGGGGAGGGGGTCAGATCATCACCTTCTCAGGCCAGATGGGCATCAGTTACCCCTTCCTTCAGGAACAGGAAGGCCGCTGTTCCTTTCTCCCGGCACTCAGCTGTCTGCCCCAACATCAATCCCTCACATCCCACGCACCCAGCTCTTGGCAGTTTACCAAGACCTTCTGCACCCCCATTACCTCATGTGATTCCCCACAACACCTATGAGAGGAAGGTGAGATGGGGATTCAATCATGAATTCACTTAGGGTGGTTGGGGGATGGGAAGGTGGGGGGTGTATATTGAATCACCTAGGAGTTCTTTCTGGTTATACAGTCCCCCACCTGAATAATCTAATATGGTTCCCGGGTAATTTTTTTTTAAAAAGCCACATCTGATCAGTAAACCCCTGAATTAAAAGGTGAAGCTGGCTGGAGGAGGGAAGGGTTGGAGGGAAAAGTGAAGTTGCTTTCTAGGTTTATAACCTGAGTGATAGAAGATCGAATTTGGGTGAACAGATGAGCTCCGATTCTGGTGTGTTGAGTGGGAAGTGCCAGTGGGCCTTTCTTGCCAGGATGCCCAGCGAGCAGCTGGAAACCTGGGTCTGAGGCTCAGGAGAGAGTGTGGGCTGGAGACGCAGAGGTCTGAGTCATCCCTGTGTGGAGAGCTGCTGGGGCTGTGGGTGTGGGTGAAGTGATCCAAGAAGAATTGGAACACAGAGATGAACAGGAAGAAAAATGGTGCCTAGAGAACCCTAATGCTGTCAGGGAAGGAGGGATGGTGGTGTGAGTGCAGAGACTATCATGGCACAGACAGTTGGGAGTGTTTTCCCTGATTAGTAAAATGAATTTGAGAGATAGTAGCTTACTTAAAATTATAAGACCAAGAATTGGCAGAGTTAGGGGTATATAGCACCAAGTCTGAGTCCCAGACTGTTTAATCTAAATAACCTACAGCTATATTCACAGTTTTAGACATAAACCACAAGCGTGCTAGAGCAATTACACCCTCCCACCCAATTCCTCTCACTCAAAGCCTTTCTTTATGCAAGTCCAGGAGCCTGAGAAACAGGCACCACATGGAGTTACCCTGGGTCCAAGGCAGAAGAATTTCTTTGGCCACTGCTTCTACTCTGTTTACCACTGAGTTTCCTACCAGCCACTCCTTCAGGTTCCAGTACTTTCTAAACACCTGGGTTTAAGGAAGCAATCTTGGAGAGAATCTATAATCCCAGTGGGATTGGAGGGGTGAAGTGTAAAGGGGGCTGGGACTCAGAGTCTGAGGAGCTCAGTGGGAAGAATGAGGCCTTTGGACGAGACAATCATTGCTAAATGGGTGTGTTGGTCCCATGTCTTTCAGATGAATCGTCCGATCCAAGTGAAGCCGGCTGCCAGTGAGGGCCGAGGAGGTAACTTCCCTGTCTGACAAACCTCAGCATGGTACCTGAGTAGAAGATGGATGGGCCCACTCCTGGAGTTAGTCCTCTGCCAGGGCTTATGACTAGACCCAGTCCAGATCAGTGAAGTCTGGAATTGTGCATCTCAAGAAATAGCTCAGCCATCCTAACTCAAACTGAGAAGGGATGGGTTCTAGAGAGCTCAGACCCAAAAAGGGCAGAAAAGGCAGAAGCAAGGAAGGGAGCTCTCACTATCTTACTCCTGGAGAATGGCCATTACTGCCTTGCCATGTAGAATTTGCAGGAGCACATAAAAAAGCAAGCTGGGGTTGTTCTTTTTCAGATTCCTCTGGGTCCACAGAAGGGGCCACTCATTCCTTTCCTGTCATGGCCTGATTAATCACCATAAAAGATGAGTTGACACAACAGGTATTGTGAGCTGTAGTAAGGACCTTAGCTGTGTGCTGAGGCTCACAGAAGTCTTTAGACATCCTTAGCTGCACTGTCTCCTGGTAGAGAGACTGAGGCTTCTTAAGAGTGGTGAGGAGTTCTCATAGCCATGCTCTAGCCAGCTTCCCTGCTAGAAAGACAGTGCTTTCTTCTTGAATTGGTACTTGGTATCTTTCTTGCCTTTGGGTTTTAGATTATCCCAGGGTATCTGCCTGCAGCCCTTCTTGATGCTACTAACTCTCCCACTCTGATAAGATAGACTTTCCTTGTCCATCTGACCCAAGATCAGCCATTACTTTGTTATGTGAGAGTCTAAGATTTAGGAGAGAATGGAGCTCAGTTGATAGAGACATGTATTGACACCCCACTAATTCCTTCATACTCTCTATTGATTTCCTGTCTGCATTCACTGGGAGCTTTGGTGGCATCAGGGTTCTGTTTGGTCCCAACGAATATTCCTTTCTCCCTTTAGATTCTCTGACATTTGTCTTTGATTCATAATCTCTAGTCAAGATATTATCAGTCCTACATTGCCTTGGAGAAATATGCCTAGGTTATTTTTTCTTCCCATGAATGTCCTTTTTCATCTCAGTCTTTCCAGACAGGCTTTTCTGATGTTCCAGTTGCATACAAAACATGTTCAAGAATCTCTTCTCATTGGGAAGGTCTGTTAGGGATCAAGGCCATTGTTGGCCATATTCTAAACTCTACCCAGCCCAGGTACATGACATAGTCCCTCAAAGAAGTTACCTATGAGTACATGAGTGAGCCGAGTTAAAAATAGAGTGAGCTGTGTAGTTCTTCAACTATGCAATCTATATGTTCTAGAAATACCAAAACCTGGTAGACCTGGTCCCATGGAGTCCCCAGATTATGAGGGGTCAGGTGGGAATACAAACAAGGGCTCACTATTCAATGTGAATGGTGTTTCTCAAGGAAAAGCCTAGGATGTGACTATCCCCATACAAATGAGGGGTATGCTAGGAGAACAAAGTGAGCTCCCAAAGCGACCACAAAATGTAACAGAAAGTAGTCAGACAGAAAAAGGAGGAGAGAGAGGAAGTATACTCCTCAGGCAGAGGGACTGACATGTTCTGAGGCCTCAGAGCTCAGCAGGACATGGTACAACTTGGAATCTTTCTCAGCAATTGGTCCATGTGCTGAGGTACTCAGAGTACATATGGTCCTGCACATCCTGTCAGAACTCAGCAGGTGGCTGCTCAGAAGGTGCCTCCATGCCAGTAACACTTCTGCTGGCCTTGTAACATCAGCTTGAGTATTAACATTTTCTTTCTCCTTTTTGGCTGTGCAAATTTTGCAAGTGTCATGTCACTGACAAATTCTATACATGAAGCCTCTCCCTTGTCCACCCATTCATGTTCAGAGTAGTTCAGGGGCAGGACAAGAAGTCTGGCTGAAAGGAAGGCTGCCTACCAGCCAAATTTATTGCTTCAGGAATGTTATGTTATACAGATTTTTCTTGACAAGTGATGGTTTCAAGGACTAGGCATTCTGAGCACATCCTTGAATAATCTTTGCAAATATGCACGACCACATCTCTCAGTGCCTCTTTGCTACATATTCAGGAGAGGAATAAAGATAGGAACTCTTGCAAAACAATTGGGCCTTTGTCATTTATAAATATCTTATTTACTGACTGACCTGTGTTCTATAATCATGTGACTAATCAAAATAAGTTGCTTTTCTTCAGGGCTATCACATATTTCTTCTAGATTAAAGAATTTGTGTGTGTGTGTGTGTGTGTGTGTGTGTGTGTGTGTGTGTGTGTGTGTGTCTGTGTACATATTATGTATGGGTGCCTACAGAGGCCAGAAGTGGGCATCAGATCCCTTGGAGCTAGAGTTGTAGGTGTTTGTAAGTTGCCCAGGATGGGTGCTAGGACCTGCCTTCTGGGTCTCTGATAAGCAATAAGCCCTGGTAATAGCTGAGCCATCTTCTCAGCAAGCCCCCCTTCTTTATACAGTTTGATTGCTGAATTTCAATGCTCTCTAACATGTGAGAAGCTCGATTTTGTGGTTTTTGTTTGTTTTTGAGACTGGCTGTGTTTGTACTCACTGATCTACCTGCTTCTACTCCCAAGTGCTGGTATTAAAGGTGTACACCACCACACTTGTCTGAGAAGTTCACTGTTTTTAAAGATGATTTTTAATGCCTCACCTCTGAAATGTAGTAAACAACACACACACGGGACAATTAGTCCCATTAAAGTCTTATTTCAGTGACCTCAAACATTTTGTAAGCCTGATTGTACCTGTTCTTGTATTCCAAGCTGGTGAACCTGTATATTTTTACTATTGCTTGTGTTGAAGCCTTTAGTTTTCAGCTAATTACTAATAGTTTCTGTGTCTGAAAAGAACATTTGTGTCAATGAAACCTTAATTTAAAGGATATCAAGGCTGCTGATGTCTGTAATCCCAGAATTTGGGAGGCTGGAGTAGGAGGCCACCATGGGCTACATAGTAAGTTCAGGCCAGCTTGGGCTATGACATGAGCCTGTTTCAAAACCAAAACAAAATCTTTTTTGTTTGTTTTTTAAAGATGTTGCTGTAGGTGTGGTAATTCAACAATTAAAAACCCTTGTTAAACCTGATGCCCTGAGATCAATCCCTGGTACCTTCATGGCAGAAAAGACAAATGACTGTTACAAATTGTCCTCCTCCACATCCATGCCATGGCATGTGAGCACCCATACACATGCAAAGAAATCCTTATAGTATGTAACTTACAAGAGATATCAAGGCAAATGTAAACTAAAAGTTTCCAGTTTATTATCTGGAAGGAATCATTATATGATTTTTTTCTCCTAAAACAGGAATCAGAAACCAACCTCAGGAATCTAGGAAGGTAACCCTGCATCTTAATACAAAATTTGCATCTTAATTATTAAAGTAGAAGTTACTTCAGCCTTTTGTTAAGTGCACTGTGAGAGCACAGATAAACCCATCAGGTCGACTTCTTTGAGACCTGAACCAAAGTCCTCTTATCATCCATACAGAAATATAAAATGATCCTTTTAGCAAAAGCAATGAACACACTAATGCCATTTTAGATGTTACTGGTAGCACTGGACATTTCATGCTTGTGTGTGTGTGTGTGTGCGCGCGCGCACGCGTGTGTGTGTGTTGGTGCATCTGCTTGTGGAATTCAGAGGTCAATCTCATGTCATTTCTCAGGAACTGTCTATCTTGTTTCTTTGAGACAGGTCTCTCTGGGACTTGGGATTCACCCCAATGGGCTAGCTGGCTGGCTAGTGAGTCCCAGGGATTCTTCTATCTCTGCTTCCCCAGTACAGGAATTATAAGTACACATCACCATGCCCAGCTTTTTACATGGGTCTGAGGATTGAACTTGGGTCTTCATCCTTGCAAAGCAAGCACTATACTGTCTGAGCCATTTCCTCAACCCCAGAACTTGGGATTTCAATATCCATAGCACAATAATGATAGCAGTACAGCAGGATCTGCCTAATGAAGGTGCTAGGACTCCTCTTCTTCCATGGCTGTCCCTTGCAAACTCGGGAGCACTTTTCTCAAAGATAGGCATCCACACCTTCATAGACTACATTATTTTAATGTATCTGATTCTATGAATTCTGCAGCTAAGTTCCATGGTGTTCATAGAGTCCATACCTTGCAGGCCTTGTAGCCAGTAGCAGTTATATATTGAACAGTATACTATTAAAGAAAAATGAATTGAATTTCCTAGAATGAAGCCATCATCTACCAAATGAATAATATTTATTTCTGTGTTGGTCATACATGGCATAAAAATGCCTCCAGCATTAGATTTATTTTAATATGAACACTTATTTATTTTAATATGAGCACCAGGTGTAATAAGACATGTGACTGGTCCCAGATACTTGAGATGCTGAGGTAAGGAGATCTCTTGAGCTCAAGAGATTGAGGCTGGCCTTGTCAACATAGTAAGAGTCTATCTCAATAAATAAGTGGAGAAAGTTTCCTGGGATAAAATCTCAAGGTTCATGTGCTTCAAAATGGAAAATATTAATCTCAAATTATCTAAAATCAGAGGTAAGAATCCTAAGTTGATTAAACAATGATTACTACATAAATGAGCATTATTTGTCATTCATCATGAGGACCACTATGGTTTTTCTTACCTATATTGCCTCTACTTTGAGAACCCTAATAGTAAGTTAAACTGTAAGAATAATCTTATAGGAAAATAATTTTTTAGTCACGATGAAATCAGTGAACCTTCAAAATCAGTGGACCACAGTCAAGAAATTAATAAATCACCATAGTGATTATTCTGTTTGTTCTACTTCCCAACTGGGCTGAATTTCTTTTAGCTACACAAATCTTTACACATTCAAGATGCCTGAGGTACAGAAATAGATTAAGGAATCAATACACCCAATCAATACACTCTTTCCACTTTTTAATTAAGTAATTAATTAATTCAAAACTTGAACTTTTAATCTTCCTGCTTCAGACTCAGTGCTAGAATTACAGGTGTGCACCACAACCCTCTGGTTTAATTTTAAAAAAAAATGTTTATATGTGTACCTACTTGGC